ATAAGGGTGAGGGGTCATTGTGAACACGGAAAATTCCTGAAACGAAAGAGACAAGAACAACGTGCACAAACAAATATTTGTATTTGATGATTTTGGGTTACAACCTCTCTCTATTTTGATCCTCTGATTCGATCTCCGTGAGGTGTGTATTTGTAGATGTTCCGTTGATCCAAGGGCCGTTCAGGCTTGATCTTGGATGAACTGTTGGAAGTTTCTTCAAAGGGCCGTGGGCTTGATCTTTGAAGGTGGATTTGAGCGGATCTTCAAGGGGCCGTTGAGGCTTGATCTTGAGGATGAATATTTCTTCAAGGGCCGTTTGAGGCTTGATCTTGAATAACGGTGATGAACGGATCTTCAAGGGCTTTTGGGCTTGATCTTGAAGAAACAGTGATGAACATATCTTCAAGGGTTTTTGGGCTTGATCTTGAAGAACAGTGATGAACGGATCTTCAAGGGCTTTTGGGCTTAATCTTGAAGAACGGTTGGATGTGTGGATTTGTTGATGTTGTTGATCCAAAGGGCCGTTGGGGCTTGATCTTGGATGAACGGATGATGAACGATGGTGCTTTCTTCAAGGGTCGTCGGGGCTTGATCTTGAAAGAGCGATGAACGAAGAACGAAGAACACTTTCTTCAAGGGCCGTCGGGGCTTGATCTTGAATTGGTGGATGATTGTTGATCCAAAGGGCCGTTGGGGCTTTGATCTTAGGATGAACGATGAACGAAGAACGAAGAACACTTTCTTGATTCTTTGGGAACCTGGATGCTTGAGAGCTTCGGAGTTTCAGAGCTTCAGAGCTTCAAGGCTTCAAGGTGTAATATGAATTGGTTCCCTCAAATGAATGAATTAGCCTTCTATTTATAGAAATTTCCAAGGCCTAATTTTGAATATAATATCCCAGATGAAATAAGTTGTTTCTGCCAGGTGTTGACACGTGTCCTATTTGATGACTTTTCCAACTCATTTCAATTTTCGTTGAGTCGCACGCTACGTGTAAAATTTATGTAATACATGAGCGTTGACACTTTGATTTATCGGTCAACATTTATTTACCGAAATTTCGATATCTACAAATGCCCCCACTTCAAGGCGCGTCGTGTACATGTGCTTGTCGCGTGTAGGAGATGCGTTTTGAAGTCCCTTACTGTAGACGTCGATCCAAGGGCCGTCGAGGCTTGATCTTGAATTGGGCTGGAGATTTCTTCAAGGGCCGTTGAGGCTTGATCTTGAATTGGGTTAGAGATTTCTTCAAAGGCCATCGAGGCTTGATCTTGAAAGTTGGGATTGGACCACAAGGAGCTTCATGTGGTAAATGATCTTTGGCTTTGGTAGTGGATGAATCGGCACGTATTTTGTTGCGCTTGTTGACTTTCCACAGCTTTGATCTTGAACTGGGTTGGAGGATTTTCTGGATTCCTCCAATTGTTGATATTCCACAGCTTATTCTTGAACTAGGTTTTGATTCAAGGGTGGTAGACACTTGATCTTGAATCGAACTTGTGATTTCTTCAAAGGTCGTCGAAGCTTGATCTTGAATTTGGCCGGAAACTTCTTCAATGGCCGTTGAGGCTTGATTCTTGAAGGTTGACTCGAACACATGGCAAGCAGGCACGAGGTGAAGGTGACGACTTGTTGCTTTGTTCAATCTTTCTAATTCACACCTGAGCAACTTGGTCAACGGTATGATCTTCAAGATTGATGGGCTCTTCTTCCAGTTGGTGACTTGATCTTTAAGGATTTGATTCAAGGGTGGTGAATCGGCACGTGCAGCCCACAACGCCTAGTAAGTCGACCCAAGAATTTGAGGGTCAAAACAAGTTCACCGTCCAGAGTGATTGCAACCCTGATGATATGAGATACTTTTGATTTTGAAGAAGTAGCGGATGACTTAGCACGTGCTTTGTTGCACTTGTCTCCACATGCTTCAAGGTATCATTTTCATTTCCTTTAACTGTTCCTCAGGCAGATGCGGCATCTTCTCGAGTTCTTCATCTCAGACTCCTTCTGCTGAGTTGACTGTGCATGCTGCATTCTTCTCTGCTTGTTTCTTCAGGCAGATGTGGCAGCTTCTCGAGTTCCTCAGTTCGGACTCCTTCTGCTGAGTTGACTGTGCAGACCGCATTCTTCTCTGTTTGTTTCTTCTGCACGTTGTCTCCACATGCTGCAAGGTATCATTTTCACTTGCCTTATCTATTCTTCAGGTAGATGTGGTAGCTTCTTTGGAAGTACAGCACCAGTGGGAGACGAGTACTCGAGAGCAGTGCTAGGTAGGAAATCAGGGAAGGGTTCCAAGCAGTCGGTTCCTTACCCGAGTTTGAGTGGAAGTTCCGGCATATTGTTTTCTTTATCCTTGTCTTTGTAGGTAAGAACAAGGACAAAGGAAAGGACAGGGAGAACGCATGATATGAGATACTCTTTCTTTCTAACCTGGTGATATGAGATTCTTTTGCTTTGGAGTCATTGGCTTGCAGAGGTACCCCAAGGAATAAGGAACATTGAATGACTCGAGAGGCTTCGTTGGGAAAACATTTTTGGAGATGAAGAAAGGCTCTGTATGTCTGCCTTGCTATGGAAGGTGAAGGTAGACAATTATAGGAAGTTCTTTGATACCTGTAGAGGTACTATTCTTTCACTCGTGTCGGCAACCAATGCGTGATTGATCAGTATGGCTTCACGTGCTTTCTTCTTTATCAGAAATCTTCGACAAATTGTCCGTAATTTTCGTCAAGCTGAGTGTGTATGTGATAGGTGTTGACGAGGCTGAAAAAGACTGGCGCCTCTTCGATATCTGGGATCGGCGCTTCGACAAATTGCCCGTGATTTCCGCAAAGCTGAGTTTGCGCGTGACGGGTGCTGACGAGGCTGAAAAAGACTGGCGCCTCTTCGATATCTGGGATTGGCGCTTTAACAAATTACCCATGATTTCCGCAAAGCTGAGTTTGCGTGTGACGGGTGCTAACGCGTCTGGAAAAGCAAGATGCTTCTCCGATTTCTGAGCTTGCCTCTTCGATTTTTGAATCGGCATTTTCGAACTCTGAGCTCACCTCTTTGATCTCTGAAATCCTGTCGAGTGCCGATTTTTTTTATAGAGGCACGCAGTTCGTTTCAAAGCACACTTGAATTTTCGCTTGTAGAAACTTCCTTCTTGCACTTCTAAGGTCTTGATTTGTCTGACCTCTTCTTTCTTCAACACCTTTGAAAATGTCTGGACCCTCCGATCGTCGTTTTTATTTGAACCTTGATGAAGAGGTAGTCCCGTCTTCCCCAGATAACATATGGCGCCCATCCTTCATATCCCCTACTGGTCCTCTCACCGTTGGGGATTCGGTGATGAAGAATGATATGACCGCTGCGGTGGTGGCCCGGAACCTTGTCACCCCCAAAGATAACAGACTACTTTCCAGGCGGTCCGATGAGTTGGCTGTTAAGGAGTCTCTGGCTCTTAGTGTGCAGTGTGCAGGTTCTGTGTCCAACATGGCCAAACTCCTATTTGCTCGAACCCGTCAAGTTGAATCGTTGGCGGCTAAAGTGATGAGTCTCAAACAGGAGATTAGGGGGCTCAAGCATGAGAATAAACAGTTGCACAAGCTCGCACACAACTATGCCACAAACATGAAGAGGAAAATTGACCAGATGCAGGAATCTGATGGTCAGATTTTACTTGATCATCGGAGGTTTGTGGGTTTGTTCCAACAACATTTGCCTTCGTCTTCTGGGGTTGTACCGCATAGTGAAGCTCCGAATGATCAACCTTTGGCTCCTCTTCTTCCTGGAGTTCTGCCGAGTGGTGAGGCTTCAAACAGTCAACCTCCAGCGCCTCTCATTTCTGGAGCTCTGCCAAGTGGTGAGGTGGCACCTGATCGTCCTTGAAGATCCCCTCTTGTAAATTTGATTTGATTTTTTTTTTTTTTTTTTGTATGTACAATGCAAATTTATGTAAAAATTTCCAGAAATAAATAAAGAAAAACGGACTTTATTTATCTCGATGCATTTGGTTTTTTTTTTTTTTTTTTTTTTTTTTTTTTTTTTTTTTTGCTGTAAACATACATATATTATGCACACATACATACATATTAATTTTTCGCGTGGACTGATCCACCATTCTTTTTTTTTTTTTTTTTTTTTTTTTTTTAATTTTTTTTTTCACATGGTGCCAGAGGCACCAAGACTCCACCAAATTTTTTTTTATATTATTTCTCCTTCTTTCCAGTCTTGGCTTTAAAACAATCAAAACACGGTAAGTGGAGCACCCAAAACCTTTACAATTTATATATATTTTTTTTATTTTTTTATTTTTTTCTTTGCACATGGTGCCTGGTGCACCCCCCCTTTTTTTTCACGTGGTGACAACACCACTTTGCTTTGCTCCACCCTCTTTTTTTTTGTATAAATTAGGATGCTTGGCTGAGGGATTTTGTAGGGGAGAACGAAGACGGACGGAGAGCTGGAGTTTAAGGAAGAGCTTCTCGGCCGGCTAGTCGTTTGACAGCGGTCTTTGAAGTTGGTGGCAGCTGCGAGGCAAGAGACGGAGGAGGGTGCAAGAGAAGAGCGGTGCAGCCTTGATGTCGGAGACTTTGCCGTCGCCGTTGCTGCTTGGAACTGATGGCAGAAGGGGAGAGCTGCAGAGATGGTGATGAAGAGTCCTGCTCGCGACTATCGCAGCTGTTGTGACGATGGTTGCCGGCCGTGGCAGAGCTGGAGTTGTAGGCAGCGGCGCAGTGGTGAGGAGAACAGAGGAGGACGTCGCCGCCGCCAACGAAAACCACCAAGTGTTCATAGCCTTAACACTTGTTCCTTCGCTGCAACTTTAGGCTTCGCCAGAGCTGCTGCTTTCTTCTTCTCATCTCCTTTGAGAGTCTGACCAAAGCTAGAACCAGCCGCGGAAGGTTTTGACAAAATGGAGCTCCTTTTGCGGCAGACAATGATGGGTGCAGTACACTTTTTCTTAGCAAGCAAAGACTCTGATCTTTCAAGCTGCTCAGGGCGTTCGGGTTGCTGACTTGTGGCGGGTGCAGGAACTACGGAGTCTGATGGCTCAGATGAAGGGTCGTGGTTGGGCCGAGTGATGAGATTCTTCTACTTCATTTCCATCGAAAAATTCTTTTTCAAATAAAGGAGATCTAGCTGCCAGTACTAACTTGTGGGCATGAAACTTTTCCCCACATACATTGAAAGTAACATCTGAACCTTCCTCATTCTCCAAAAGCATACCAAAATGATCTCCAATATCAGAATCGGGGACATGTATGGAATGCAATCTCGAACTATCTATTGCAGAAACCACAACACCGACAGTGCAATTAATTTTCAAGCAATCATCCTTGAGGAAACTAGATGATTCGAGCAGTGTCCGTCTGAAAAATCGTTTGTAGCCCCACATGCTGCCCCTATACTTGAGGGTGTAAGGTGGACAGAGAGCTAGAGCGGATCATCCTTGCTGGGCAGAATCAGATCCGACCTCCTCAAGTCAAAATCTCTGTGACACAGATGCAATCATTTACAACAACAGAAATGAATCAGTTCTCCTGAGTCCAGATCTTCACCGTCATTGCTTGCACAAATCCTGGAAGCATCATCTCCAAGCTTACTGTATTCAAAATCACCATTGTACTCTCTGTCTGGACTTTCATCAAACACCTGCGTCTGCTGTTGTTGTTGTACTTGCTGCTGCAATTGTGGTACTTGAATCGGGCTCGGGTTCTCGGATAAGCTACTGGAGCTCGGGTGGTTGTCGAACTGCACCGGCTTTGAAATTAGCTGGTTGCTGGTGTTGGTGGTTGCCGAAGTATTCACCGGGTCCTTCATTTCCATGGTGGTGGTCGACGGATCATTAAGCCAGAGCGACGAAGGGTCGTTCTCGCCCTGATCGACGGTGGCGCCGCCGCTCATAGGCCAAGAACCGACCTCCAAATTGTTGAAATCAAACAAAACCCTGACCTTATTCATCAGATCGGAGCTCTGGTAGATGAGCTCGGTCGATCCCAACTCCACAACCCCATTCGCCGTCGGAACGCAAACCATAGTCTGCAGCCCAAACACTTGGCCCTGTCGCGCCCGCTCGCACGGAGAAGCCGCCAGTCGGTCCAGTCCAGCAACCCAGACCGGGGTGGAGTGAAAGAAGGCCTGACCCGGAAGCCCGCCGCCGTTGACGAACGACTGAGTCATTGAAACGAGAAAGAACCACTCAGTATCAGTCACTTCTTGATCCACGGCGTCGTCGTCCGCTGACGTGTCGGCGCCGGAAATCAAGGAGTTGAGGTCTCGGAGGACTTTCTTGCGGTACTCTTGTTCGGCGATATCCGGTAGTCCGTCATGTGATACGCAGCGTTTTGGGGATGGGATTGGTTGGGAGGCGGTTGAGAGCCACATTGAAGCAGAGCTCGAGAGCTCGACATTGGAGAGGATGAGAGGTTTAGTGCTGCTGAGATTTGAGACAGGCATTGGACTTGACCGCGGATTGGGCTTGGAGGCTGCCACTTGGGCCTGGATGGCCTCCTTCTAAGAGGCTGGCTGCTGATGGATATACATACATACATAAATATATATATATATGTATATGTATGTAAAAGAACTCCTTTTTTTTTTTCTTTTTTTTTTTAAATATATAAAACATATGTATATTTTTTTCTAATAAAACATTATTATTATTATTTTTATTTGTTGTGACTGAACTTGAAATTGAATATTCAAGCTGCCTACGTACCCTTCCAAAGAGATCAAGTCGAAACGTAGTTCAAATACATACATATATTTTTTGGTATTTTCTTTTTTTGTGCCGTTTGCAGTTTCAGCTCATGCAGGCAAGGAGCGTTTGGTGCCGTGTTGCAGTTTCAGCTCATGCAGGCAAGGAGCGTTGGTGTTGCCTTTTATGCTCGTGCAGACCAGGAGCGTTGTGCCATGCAGTTTAGGCTCGTGCAGGCGAGGAGCCTTGTGTCTTGCAGTTTAGGCTCTTGCAGACAATGAGCTTTGTGTCTTGCAGTTTAGGCTCTTGCAGACAAGGAGCTTTGTGCCATGCAGTTTAGGCTCATGCAGGCGAGGAGCTTTTGTGTTGCCTTTTATGCTCGTGCAGACCAGGAGCTTTTGGTTCGTCAAGCGATCTGAGAGAGTCGTTCCTCGCAATCTTCATAGCAAGGAGCATTGACTGAGTAGTTGAAGAAGTCTTCTGGGAAGATGTCACACATCGTGATGGGGATGGATGATCTTTGTGTCAAAGTTTCACTATCTCCAACACTTTCACATTGTTCTGGAGGTGGACAGGAGCTGCTTTGCCCCCTTTCCCATTGGTGAACTTGTGGAGAAGACATATGCTTCTTGTGCAGTTTCTGCGGAGTGACATAAGTCCATCCTTCAACTTCACTCGGCTTGACTAGCATGGTTTTGGAGCATGCCCCCAGCGATTGAGGTGAAGATTTTGAGTTGACAGAGCCAGAAGTGAAGTTTTTTCCAGGGATTTTGTCTTCTTGGGCCTTTTCTTCAGTGCGATCCTCTTGGGTTTGTTGGCGTGAAGATTGGCCGGTGTAGATGATGGTGCACCTCCTTACCTTCAGTGGTCCTTTTGTGTCGACTTCCAAAGTTGCTTGGCGCTTCATCCTTGAAAGAATCAAGCTTTGAACATCGTCTTTTCCTGCCAGACTGTCGAGCTTCTCTCCCTTTGGCGTTGTCTTCCTGTTTCTAGAAGGCTTCTTAGTTTCTTCAAGTCTGTCCAAAGCCGACCGTTGCGGAGGAGATCTAGCTGTGCCGCTTTGTTTCTTGGGTTTTGATAACCTTTCAAAGACTGATCTTTGCGGTGTTGGCCTCTCAAGCCTTTTGAAGACAGAAGTTTGGTCTCGACCACTGATGCGATCAAGTGCTGCAATTCTAGGTTTTGAATAATTCAGCCTTTCGAAGACTGAAGTTCGAGGGGCGGGTTTAGGCTCCTCTTTTGGCCTTGTGGCTTGTGGTCTTGGCTTCCTCGTTTTTTTGTAGGTCACCGATGTCCACCCTTTCTTATCACCAGTAGATGCATCTTGGTTGCTTGCCCCCGGTGATGGTTGTGTATGAGGTGCCATGTGACTTGAACATTGACGGGAATGGTCATGCATGCTTCGGAGATGCACAGGATCGAGTGATTCAAACACGATAGTAGTAGTGTGTGCCGCAACCGTGTCTTCGAGGTCAAGCTCGATTTCCCCTTGTTGTGCTAGCTTTAGGATGAGATCTTTCAGTACGAAGCACTTTTCCGTTGGATGACTGATGAAGCGGTGGAATTTACAGTATCTTGGGTTGTCGGTACGATTCATCTCTTCCGGCCGTCTGCACTCAGGCAAACTGATCACCTTCTTGTCCAACAGGTCATCCAGCATGGCAACTACATCAGAGTCGGGGAATGGATAAATCTTCTCATCAAGCTCCTTCAAAGTGCGTCTACGCATCTCTTGATCACGAAAAGCTTCGGTTTGAATCGCCTTGCCTCGTGTGGAGATTTTGACGGGAGCTGTGTTGACCGTCATCGCTTCCTTGGTGGGTTTCCATGTAGCTTTTTCCACCTTTGTCCCAAGAACTTTGTCGTCCTTGTAGTCGGCGATCGGTTCTTTCTTCCCATGATGGGCGATGCTCAACTCCATGTCATGGGCGCGAGTGGCCAATTCCTCGAAGGTTCGTGGTTTAATGCCTTGAAGGATGTATTGCAAACCCCATTGCATGCCTTGGATGCACATCTAGATTGAAGAGGTTTCAGACAGCCTGTCTTTACAGTCAAGGCTTAGAGTGCGCCATCTGTTGATGTAGTCAATGACTGGCTCGTCCTTCCACTGGTTTGTGCTCATTAGCTCTAGCATACTCACAGTGCGGCGGGTACTATGGAAGCGGTTGAGGAATTCCCGCTCTAATTGCTCCCAGCTGTTGATGGACTCAGGCTCTAGGTCCGTGTACCACTCAAAGGCATTTCCTTTCAGCGAGCGCACAAACTGCTTGGAAAGGTAGTCCCCTTCGGTCCCTGCGTTGTTGCAAGTTTCAACAAAGTGGGCAACGTGCTGTTTCGGGTTTCCTTTTCCATCAAACTGCATGAACTTTAGTGGTTGATAACCCCTTGGCATCCTTAGGGCATCAATCTTCTTGGAATAGGGCTTCGAGTAGAACAAGGAGGTATGTAAGCTCCCTTCGTACTGTGCCTTGATGGTGTTGGTGATCATCTCCTGCAGCTGCTGGATAGAAAGAGATCCCATGAGTGCCGCTGCTTGGTCTGGCTCCGGCTTCACATCGTTTTTCTCCACCTGAGGCTCATCTTCTTCGTCATCTGTTTTCTTTAGTGGATCATTCTCTGGGTCGGGGTTCTCGTCGTCCTGTGGCTCCAGTCGGCTGACGAGTGCAGCGATTTGCAAGTCTTTTTCTTCAACAATCCGTGTTAGCCTTGCGATCGCTTCATTCATTTGAGCCAGTTGTTCTTCGATGGAGTAACGCCGATGGTCATGACTTGTGCAACCAATAGACGTGACTTTCCTTTAGACATCCAAGATGCTGACGAAGAACGTCGTTGGCTGTTTTGGGATGTCATCTTGTGTGCCTCAGCAGCATGCTTCGGTGCCCCCAGCGAGGTCAGGTTGATGACAGACTCACACCTTTGATGCTTCCCTTGCTCTTTTAGCGGCACCAACTTTGAAGTGGCATGTTGAGGAGCGGTTGTGGCGCCAATGGATTGTCCGTTTGCGGCAGAAGTGCATAGGATCCTTCTCTCAGTGGTTGCGAGAACGGCTTGTCCCTTGCTTGATGCCATTGACTTTGAGGTGTGTTTGGATTCTTTGAACGGAGAAAGAGATGAGAGGTAGAGATGGTCCCACCGGGCGTGCCAATTTGTGAACACGGAAAATTCCTGAAACGAAAGAGACAAGAACAACGTGCACAAACAAATATTTGTATTTGATGATTTTGGGTTACAACCTCTCTCTATTTTGATCCTCTGATTCAATCTCCGTGAGGTGTGTATTTGTGGATGTTCCGTTGATCCAAGGGCCGTTGAGGCTTGATCTTGGATGAACTGTTGGAAGTTTCTTCAAAGGGCCGTGGGCTTGATCTTTGAAGGTGGATTTGAGCGGATCTTCAAGGGGCCGTTGAGGCTTGATCTTGAGGATGAATATTTCTTCAAGGGTCGTTTGAGGCTTGATCTTGAATAACGGTGATGAACGGATCTTCAAGGGCTTTTGGGCTTGATCTTGAAGAAACAGTGATGAACAGATCTTCAAGGGTTTTTAGGCTTGATCTTGAAGAACAGTGATGAACGGATCTTCAAGGGCTTTTGGGCTTAATCTTGAAGAATGGTTGGATGTGTGGATTTGTTGATGTTGTTGATCCAAAGGGCCGTTGGGGCTTGATCTTGGATGAACGGATGATGAACGATGGTGCTTTCTTCAAGGGTCGTCGGGGCTTGATCTTGAAAGAGCGATGAACGAAGAACGAAGAACACTTTCTTCAAGGGCCGTCGGGGCTTGATCTTGAATTGGTGGATGATTGTTGATCCAAAGGGCCGTTGGGGCTTTGATCTTAGGATGAACGATGAACGAAGAACGAAGAACACTTTCTTGATTCTTCGGGAACCTGGATGCTTGAGAGCTTCGGAGTTTCAGAGCTTCAGAGCTTCAAGGCTTCAAGGTGTAATATGAATTGGTTCCCTCAAATGAATGAATTAGCCTTCTATTTATAGAAATTTCCAAGGCCTAATTTTGAATATAATATCCCAGATGAAATAAGTTATTTCTGCCAGGTGTTGACACGTGTCCTATTTGATGACTTTTCCAACTCATTTCAATTTTCGTTGAGTCGCACGCTACGTGTAAAATTTATGTAATACATGAGCGTTGACACTTTGATTTATCGGTCAACATTTATTTACCGAAATTTCGATGTCTACAGTCATTTTATAGAATAAGGACTCCTCACTTATTACATATTTGTCCTTGCCTTTATCACATAATTACATTTAAGTTCCCCCAAATATTTGTACGAGATCTAAATACGAGGCCCTAAATATGGTATAAACAATGTTCATTCGGTGCTTCTGGACTTGAAAGACAGAAAGTGGTATTGCACTTCATGTACAATTTATCAAAATCCCAAAGGACTGGACCCAATGTCTTTAGCCATTGAACCCCTAACACCACATCACAACCTCCCAAGGCCATGGCATACAAATCAGTAGTACACTGATAGTCTTGAATCTTGAGTGAGATAGCCCCTAAAGAACCTGTAGTATTAACTTTTCCCCCATCCGCAATCTTGACACTAAAAGAATGAGCTGTATTCAATTGTCCATTGATTTTTTTGACCAAAACAGAATCCATGAAGTTGTGGGAACTACCAGAATCGATAAGTATTACAATCGGACAATTCCTAATACTACCAAGAACCTTCATGGTTTTAATTGACTTAGGAGCTGGGGTACCAAAAAGGGCACATGATGTAATCTCAGGTTCTAAATTTTCAGT